GTATCACCAAAATAAATTGTTTCATTTTGTTTTTTCAAATTTAATTAAATCTACAAACCATCCCTTCACTGTGGAAGAAATAATTCATCATCTCTGTTCCAAAAACTGCTAGGCTAAATGAGTTTAACAGTTACAGACCGGTTGCTCTTACATCACCCCCATTGAAAAGAGAATTTTGACAGAGTGAATCTTGTGAGAATTTTAAACCAATCTAGTATATTGCAAAGAACACACAGGACCTTATTGACCCCCTGCAGTTTGCATACAGAGAAAGGGGTTAGACAATGCAATACTCACATTGATAAATGTGGTCTATCAGCATCTTGATCAAGCAAGGTCATTTGTAAGGATATTATTTGTTGACTTTTCGTCTGCTTTTACCTTTGTAAGATGACCAGGGGAAGGGTCATTCATAACCGGTATTTCCGGAACGAAACATTTAATATACTTGATATAGACCTGAGCAAGATGGCCGCCGAGGAGAACCTCCAAACAGTCTCAAGATGAGAAAGTTAGATGTTATGGTCAAAGTGTCAAAAGCAGCACTGAGTTCAAGAAGGATGAGTATAGAAAGAGAACCAGAATCAGAAGCTATTAGAAGATTGTAAGTGACTTTGATCCGGGCAGTTTCTGTGCTGTGAAGTTGATGGAAGCCAGATTAGAGGGGTTCGAAAAGGTTATTTGTCATGAGGTGGTTATGTAACTGAAGTGTAACAGCACGTTCTAGAATTTTTGCAAGAAAGGGTAAGTTGGGGATGGGGCGAAAATTGTTAAGGTTGTCGAGGCTTTTTTGGCACGGGGGTAATGGCAGCAGTTTTGAGGACTGTTGGTACAATGCCAGTGCTCATGGATTCATGTATAATATTGAGGACAATGGGACAGAGAGAAGGGAAACAGGACTGAAATACAGTGGTGGGAATGGGATCTAAAATAGATGTGGTGGGTTTCATGCGTGAAATTAGTTTATTGAGGGATGCTGAGTCAAGAAGAGAGAAGCTGGAGAGAAGGGAACCAGAGAAGTTGGGTGAGGAGGGAGGAGGTATGGAAATGATATGCGTAGTGGAGAGATGCCAGATGTTGTCTATCTTAGAACTAAAGAAATCTAAGAATGTGTTGCAAAGTTGCGATGAGGTAGGTAATGAGGTGGGGAAGTTTGGCTTGAGCAGTCTGTTGATGGTGGAGAAAAGATGTCTGGGGTTGTTTTGGTGATTTTCAATGATGTGTGAGAAGTAAGTAGATCTAGCAGACTCCGTAGTAACCTTATATTCAGACAAGCAATCTCTCCAAGCCTGGTAATGTACATTTAGGCCAGAAAGATACCACCAATGCTCAAGTTTGCGAGAGGCTGCCTTCATGGATCGCAGATGGTCGTTGTACCAGGGGGCAGGGCGAGAGAAGGAGATGGTTCGAGCTTTTAAAGGGGCAAAGATGTCGAAGGTAGATAAAAGTGCACTGTCAAGTAACTGTATTTTGTCATCTAGAGGGTCAGAGGAAGAGAAACAAGATAAGGAGGACAGAACAGAATTTGCAAACCTTGGGTGATCAATTGATTGCCAGTTGTAGAAATTTACAGAGCGTGAGGGGGAAGTGTTGGAAACAGGTAATTCCAGATTGAAAAGAATAGCTAAGTGGTCAGAGAG